GTGACAGGATATGCGTATTCCGGCGAAGACGGATAGGAAGCCACTTGAGCTTGTTACGGAATTCCGAGCGTAAATCTGCAAATCATCTGCATAAAGGTGGTAGGAAGATAGAAGTTCGTCAGAGATAGAATTAATAAAAGTTGCGAAAAGAAGAGGAGATAAGACGCCACCCTGCGGCACGCCAGCAGCAGTACTACGCCAAGTCGAGAAATTTGTGTCCACTCGGACACGCTGTCGACGGCCACACAGGTAACTCTGAAGCCAACTTATATTTTGTTATTAATCTGTAAAGTTAAGAAGAAATAAATCATTGGAAAATTACTTTGGACTGTGGACTGGTCCACTCCCGAATATTGCGCAGCCACGACTTTTTCCTTCGCCCAGCGCTTCTCTTCCCTTCCACCTTATCCATCATTATAAGATGAAGCAGCATGTATTTGTCATGTCTTAGTGCGTGACCGAGATATTCTATCTTGCGCTTTTTGATGGTCCGGATCATTTTGCGTGGCATGTGGACGCGCTGGAGCACCGTATCGTTCCTGACTTTTTGCGTTTAACTTATGCTCAACTTCCAACGGTAACATCACATTTCAAACGCCTTTATGCACCTAATGGTGTCGTCTTTTAAGGTCCATGCTTAGCAACCGTACATAACGACGGGCCAGATGGATATTTTCGAGAGCTTCCGACATAACTGCTTCCGAATAAATGCAGAAGAGCAACGGAGACATAATGCATCCCTGCCGAACCCCGCGACAAATCTCAATTTCCCCGGTATCTTCGTCATCAACTCTCACTGCAGCCACTTGTTTTTCGTACAGATAACGAATTATTCTTGTCCTTGTCATCGAGTCCAATATCAATTAAAAGGCCCATAAGCTGCTGATGCTTAACTCGATCAAATGCTTTTTCGTAGTCGATAAAGATATCAGCACGTCCGTTTGCATTTCTCTGCATTTCTGAACGAGTACGCTAAGGGCGAATAAAGCTTCACGGGTGCCTACGAACGAAATCCGAATTGGCTGTCTCCTAGTTGTTCGGCACACGTCACTCTTATTCTGTTCTGTATGATGTTTATGAACATCTTTAGAACATGGCTCATTAGACTAATCATCCTAATAATAAATAAATAATTAATGGCAACACCACCAAAAGTCAATGTAATTTTTTTTCTCTGCTTTTATATAAATAATTTACATAGATTATTTACGTACAACCTCGACCAAATCAATAAAAAATCAAAACAAAACCTTTTTATATAATATATTATACAAAATAATCACCATAGCTTCCATACAAACGAAAAAATATCTCAAGTTGCAAAAATGACAATGACAGCCCCAACAACAGAAATATAGTGAAGCAGATTAATAAATCATGTTGACCAGAGCCAGGAAGCTACAAGACGCACCCCCACCACCTCCGGACTCGTCGCTCAGCTCCGCATCGCCTTCGCCGGAACCCCGCTCCGCAGGATCATCGATGAATACAGTTACGTCGAGCTCGAGCGACGACTATTTGTCCCCGTCTATGTCGCCACCATCTGTACGTCGGCCGGGGAGAGGCCGACCACCGATTGGCTTGGGAACCAAGGGCCATTAGGCCCCGGGTCGGGCCCCAGCTACCGATAGTTGTGTGCGGCGCATGAAATGGACTCAGTGTATAAACGAGAACGTCATGCGTGCTACAGAGGGAGGAACCTCGCTGCCAACCGTGAAAGGATGCTGTCTATGTTTCAGGTGCTTGAACCGTCTGTCAACGTCTTGGCCCAACGACTCTCGGATCAAGTGCGGGATGTTTACCAACGGTCTATAAACTTGTTACATCCATTTTGAGAACAAACATTTTGAAACAAATCCCATCATGTCTGTATCTCAAAATAGGTGTAGGAAAGGGTCTCGTGGAACTAAGGAGCTACTCCTCATTGATATCGTTGTTAGCCAACAGGTCCGTCGATTCCGAAAAGATTTATCAACATGCTGGATAGAATACAAAAAAGCATATGATTCTGTGCCACATAAATGGCTGATGAGAGTGCTGGAGTTGTATACTTTACGCACCTTCTTACAGTCATGTATGAGACAGTAGAACACTGTGCTTTGCTATCCGGGGTGCAGACAAATCCAAGGTAATGAAGAACCTGTTAGGATAGTGAGAAGAATTTTCCAGGGTGACAGTCTGAGCCCACTATGGTTCTGCCTGGCCATGAATCCTCTAAGTACTCTACTGGAGGCTTCAGGGCTAGGTTATTCTTTGCGGAGAAGGGGTCTAGTTATTTCCCACTTTCTTTATATGGATGACCTCAAGTTTTTTGCTGCAAACAAGAAACAACTGATGGAATTACTAAAAATAATTGAAAAATTTGGTAATTCCATCAGAATGGAGTTTGGAGTAGACAAGTGTGCCGTCATGCATGTAAAGCGAGTACAGATTGTGGAATCTGAGGGTCTAGGACTCTCAGATTTAACAAAGCTGAGATCACTCTCCGCAAACGATACATACAAGTACCTGGGTCTGTCAGAAGGATTAGGCATTAATGGGCCGGACATGAAGTAATCGTTACTGGATAGGCGAGTCCGGACACTGCGGACTGCAAATCGCATGCATCGTTCGTCAGTCATGAGGTTCTACATCCTGCGGAAGTATGGGGGTCGAGGCTTACTAAATGCTAAGACCCTTCACAACCGCGAGGTGTGCAATCTCAGGGAATATTTCCTGAAAGTCAACGAGGGTATGCATCGAGAAGTAGCAACAGTGAACAATGGATTCAATCCACTATCCCTGGCAAAAGAGAACTGGCGCAAGCCTGTGGTACTGAGCGTCAATGATCGAAAGGAGGTATGACATAGTATGGAGCTCCATCATTTCTAAGGTGTTGGATTGGCAGGAGGGTCCAATTCCATGGCCTGTACCACTGTGCTGGACACTTCCAGACCTAACGCAGGTTGATTTTTACGTGTTTTGTACGAAGTTTCATGTGCCCCCACACGTTTAATAGATGGATTTGGACCGCCAAATCCAACTATAGAAATACTTCGCAGAAAAATATTTGAAGCGGCTGAAGAAATATGAGGCACATTCAGTTCAAGAGTGACCGTCACAGAGACAAGGAAGCATGTGCTAGCATGTATTCATCACAGGAATCATAGGAAGGTCACTTTAAACAAAATGTTGCAAGTAATGATGTTTTTGAAATTGCCCGTTTATGTTTACAGTTATCATCAAGTTATTAATTTATTTTCGAGAATTTTATAAATAACTACCTCTTGCCCGCGACTTCGTTCGCGTTGAATAATGAGTTATGATAGAATTCATCAGAATCAATTCAGTGTCCAAGTAAGATTTATTGTGAAATAATTTATCGTAGTTAAAAAAGTATATAATGCCGCAGGGATCTTAGCAGTACAGTTCCCGTATGGCTTGAGTGATAATGATTATTCTATCGACTATTGTTATATGTAATCTCTCTAAAATAAGTTCAGAGGTTAAGAGATAGAGAGACCTGGGGTATTAACGCATACTTCCCTTGGGACTTCTGTGATAGAAACTCTCATATACAACGATATATGATAGTTTTTAACTTGTTGGATAATGACCCAGTGGTGCTAGCCAAATGCCTTTTACAAGCGTGTCTACTTAGAGAATAGAAAACTCAATATATGGGGATGACTTAAGCAAAATAGACAGAGTTTGATACTCTGCGATTGGTAGCCAAATGCATCTTTAGTCTTTTCTACAAAACGAGTCGCTAAGCAAGTAGATTATTTTCCTTAGAAAGGCTAGCCAATTTAATAAGCCAAGCTATTGACAGTCGAAAGCGTTTCTTAGCGCTCGACACGGAGCGGTCGCTAGCACCTTGCAGATAGCGCTGCAAAATGGCCGACTTTCGATCAGCTGTTTGCCGCGCAAACAGCCGAAGGAGGCCGCGGAAAGCCGCGCTCGTTTTAAATTTATGTTACACTAAATATTATTTTATTCTTTCAACACAATGCATACATTACGCCTTTTATGGGCAGCTAAGCATGAAGAAGAATGGAACAGGCGTAAGAAAAGGAATTTATATAGAAAAAATAAAATTTAAGAAATTCCGGACAATAATTTTATAGACGCATTTCCTTTAGATAAACAAACTTTTAGTCTACTTTGTGACGACTTACGTGCCCATACCTCATTGCGGAGAACTAAATATATTTCGCTAGAGACTAAAGTAAGTAAATAAATCTGTGCCGCCTGTGGTAAGTGATATAACTCGAGTTGTACCCTTTTTGTGATTTTCACATGAGCATAATAAAAAAAACAACGTATTTTTTGGTCTAACTCACGTTCTTCTATCTGCTATAGTTTCGGAGATAATTTTGTGCAAAGTGATACAACTATAGGTAGATTTTGGCAAAAAAATCGTGACAATCGATATTTGTTAAGTTGTGACTCCAAAACCCGTCACTTAACAAACTATTTTTCGTGTTTCGTGATTTAAATGCCATTGTATTTAACTTCACATTTTATTTTTCAGTACATTTATCGTGAATTTAGATTTGACTACAGCAATATCCCTTTGGACTAATTCTTTCGATATGCCTCTAGGATATAAATCGACATGTATATACAAATCTGAATGTAAGGTATACCCTTTTTTGTGAAAAGTGATACAACTCGACTTAAATCATTCTACACAAATCTGTCATTATGTGTAAACAAATATAAATATACTTGTATCTAAAAATCCAATCAATTTTAAAAATATATGATACAAAATATTAAATGTGCTAAGTGATACAAGTGTAGGTGGCGAGGGTTCGCGGGGGTAATCGGGGTAATTTTTTTCAGCAAAATTCTCGAATTGATAAAATAATGAAATGGGCTACACTAAATCAGATATTGAAGAAAAAGATTTTGATACCCAGGAAAATGGCTACGAATCAAGAGTGGAGCAAGAAACAAGTGAAACGGTTGATGGGTCATGGCACCGGCGTCCAGTAGTTAACTCACATTAAGTGAGTTGGAGCAGCGGGTACTCAACCTAATAGGTTCAGAGGCTGCTACAGGCATGGTAGCTGTAAATGAGACAGCTCCCGTTCCTCAGGTAATATTGCTTTGGTAATTTTTGTATAACTCATAAAAATCTTATATGTAAATTGTGGAATCCTTGCATTAGCTTATTTGCTTTGCTTGTTCAAGTATCATATACCTATATTAAATTATATTGTATTAACATGTTATTTTCAGAATGATTCAGCACTTGCCTCTGAACCATTAGAGTTAGAGGTGCCACCACCCTTTCTGCGGCCTCGGTCACCCACACCAACCCGCTCAACTATCCTAGACAACAGTAAGTAATATTTGTTTAGTGAATATACTATTTTTACTTATGATCACAACCATAAGGAGGTATTTTAACCATGGTTGTTACCTAACAGCAGGCACTAGTAATAGTGATATTTTAATCATAGAATTATGGATGTTAAGGTATACTATATGAACAAAATTTTGACAGAGGATTTTTTACATAGGGCTTTTGGTTTAAATAACATTTATTACAAAATAATCTAATACTAATGTGACATATGAATCCATTTTTATTTTTAAAACGTTTCCTTCTCTCGTTTTAGAAGAAGTTTATATAAGTATGGGAACTTTTTATATTGAGTCCATGATGCAATGAAAGTATTATGAGGTACTCTATAACTACATTATACCTATATGTTTTCAGTGCTGGATGAATTAATGAGGCCAGGTGGAAGCGGCCAGTCCACCCCATTTCCCACGGAAATAGTGGAGGTGACGACTGCGTCGCCCACCACCAGCCACGTCCAACAGACGGGATCTCCGGTACGGCCAAGAACCCGGCGTACTATACCCGGGCACCGCGCTACACCGGATCGCCGCCGGCGCCCTCGAGTTCGCCCACACTCGGCACATGCAGATGCTGCCCAAAATATTATCCATTCGGATAATCTCTGGAGAGATTTGGCGACAAAGTTTGTCACTGAGAGTCTGCGGCAGCGTGAAGCTGAATTACAAATGCAAGCTCAGTGGCAAACTTTGTTCGCTAAATATCTAGAGCTACTAGATAAAAAAATAAATAAATAAATTTAATGTAGTAGAGTATTTTTATTGAACATTACATTATGTAATACCGGGATCTGTTAATAGCTGGCATCATAATTAATAAATACTTGTACAATAATGAAACACGTTTTCATACTGAAATTGTTATATTAATAATAAATAAAAAGTGTATTTAATTGATCAAACGCACTCTACTGGCCACGCGATCACGTATTAATCGGCCCAAAGTTAAAAGGGAACTGTCTTCATGCGGAGCAGACTCCTCTCTGATGAAATCTTCGTGACCTGTGAAAACAAAACACAAACTATGAAAGAAGCACATATTAACATTAGCTTATGGGAACTTGAGATGACATAGATACCTTACTTAAAAGTAAACTTAAAAGGGTGTTTGAGAAATATAAATTTAGTACTAAGTAATTGTGTGCTGTAATGTTATTATATGTTGTTTGTAGATTACCTGTTGTTTCTGGTTCAGTTTCATAGTCCGGTACATTAAAATTTACACAAATGTTGTGCAACACACAACAAGCAATAATAATGTGTGCACACTTTTCAGGTTTGTAGTGCAAAACCCTGTCTTTGCACACACACCTCCACCTGTTTTTCAGGCGCCCAAAAGTATTTTCAATGATGACCCGGGCCCTGCTGTGTACCATATTGTATGTCTCTGCAGAAGTGCCCGGGCCTGGTTGAGAGTATGGTGTCATCAGCCATGGCCTTTGTGGGTATCCAGAGTCCCCTGCAAATTTAAAATAAGTTTTTATTAAAAATACATACCTTAAATTACTTACATATTTTCTTTATTTAATATTGTATAGTTGTTGCATTTACCTAGAAGCCAGACAGACTCTCCACTCTGGTGCAATGTCTGCATGTGTTGGTTTACAAGGCTGTTTTCCCACACAAAGGCATCATGGCTAGCACCACCATACTTAGGATTAATGTTCATAATTAGCCCCCTGTGATCACACACCTAGAAACAATGACGTAACATTACTTAAGCTATGAAATAAATAAATATAAAACTATGAAGCTTTTAAAAGATTGTTTAGATTATATTAGTGCATTATTAACACTATGTTTATAAAATTATATATTATTATTACCATTTGAACATTTATCGAATGATAGTGCTTGCGGCAGTAAAATAAATGTTCTATATCCTTTTTGGGCTTGACAATCCTAAAGTGTGAGCCATCTACACATCCCAACACTCCAGGAAACCCGTACATATTATAGAAACTAAAAAGACAAACAATTATAATTAACAAGTCATCTACTAGCAAGTGCATGAATATGATTTTAGGTTCAACAGTAATATACCTTTGTTTCACTTGTTCTCTAGCTTCCCGTGTCGTGGGGAACTTAATGAAGTTTTTTAAAACCTCTGGGTGGTTTAGTGCTTCAGTCACTTGGTGGACAAAGCGGCTGATGGCTTCTTGGGAGTAACAATTGGCCGTGCCAACCACCCTTTGGTAATCGCCATTGGCAAAAAATAATAATGCGCAGAGTACCTAAAAGTAATCAGAAATTGTACTTATTTATATAACCTACTTGTGTATTTATTAATGTAGATGATAATAAGTCACTCACCTTAGTTTCTAGTGAGACTCTCTGAGAGCTTCTTAAATTAGTATGATTTCTAAGTGTCTCACATAGAAACTTGTAGGCTTCTTTTGTCAGCCGATATCTTTGGACAAAATGGGTGTCTGATATTAAGCTTGCGCTCAATAACTTTCGCCGCAAAAGAAGGTTTTTACGCTCTTCTTCACGGCGATCCATTTCAGCGGCTTCTGCCGTCATTCTCCAAGCAAAATATCTTCTCGCAGCCATTAAATTATTTAAATAAATGTCACAAGTAAATATTTTGGCACCCAAGCCGCGAGGTTTTTTGTCTATCTCACCGATTAATATTTAGTGAGTTCTAAAACGTTTACGTTGGACGAGATCGAGACGCTTTTCTCTCGCAGACTTGTCAATATTGTAACTCGTACTGCCAATTTGTCGAGAACTGTCAAAATTTCTCGTTAGCGCTCACCGTTTACGGATACTTTTTACGTTAAAGCAACTCATACTACCAAATTTAGTTCCTCTACGTTTCCGATAGGGGCGCTGCTAATTTAAGAATGAAAATTAACGTTTCGTTAGAACGTAACGTTTGCTGTCAAAACTCATACTAAGGGTACAGCTGTGTAAATCGTCTTTCAATTGTTAATACTATGGTATTCACGTAAACAAACGATGTTGCAACGGGTCGGCTATCAACGACTAAACGTCAAATCTGACGGTTGAACCGTCGTTGAAGTGTCGCTGAACAGAAGTACGTTTGTTTTGACTTCATTGTAACTCAGCTATTAATTTAATTTTATACGAACGAATTTTGGGGATTTTCGGTACAAAAACTCCAGTGATTAAATATAAAAATGAGTCTCGGGCTCGGCCTGTTATTATTAGATGCAGCTGAAAGAGAACATAGACGAATGGAGCGAGTAAGGAGAAACAGACTGAGGTGTTCTAGATAGGATGCCTTTGAAATGGCAGACAGAGATTTTATAAAGACATTTCGCCTTTCTAAGATCCTTGTCCACGGTATTATTGAGGATATTACACCTCTAATAGAGAGAAATCGAAGGCAAGATGGTTTATCAGTGAAAGAAAAGGTTTGTCTCAACTTGTGTGCTTTTTACACTCAAATTTTATCTCATTACGATTATCTGCTTTGAATCTAATTTTGTTTTTTCAGTTACTGCTCGCCTTATCATTTTTCGCATCTGGTTCCTATCAGATTCTTGTTGGCCAGAGTGCATATAGTGGTGTTTCTCAACCTACGATCTCAAGAGCAATTAAACAGGTGACGCATGCTCTCAATTCACCCAGGGTTTTTCGAAAGAATGTAGTTTTTCCAATCACAAGAACACACAGAGAAAGAATAAAACATATATTATTACATACTTTATATTTAATAAAAAAAAGCATATTAGTCTAATTATAAATATAATGTAATCAGTCTAATTAACAATTATGATACTTATTAAATAAACCAGTAGTGTCATTTTGTTTTAAAATACAAAACTATGGTCATCGTCATCACTGCTCTGAGATCGAGCCCGTTTGTGTTCTTGTTCTTGTTTGTCATCACATTTTCTTTTCTGTAAAGATTCAAAAATTTTTAATTTGCATTAAATATTAATATTATGTTTATAACTGTGTCTTATTTTTAATTCATCATCATCTTAGCGTTAATCTGCACTTCGATATAATTCATCGCGGTCAAAGGCAATGCCGAAGCAATGCAGCTAGATCAATTGTCGGACTGCTCCAACAACCCGAAATTTTATTATCACAATGTAATTTTTGTTTACTTACATTTCCCTCTTGGCCACCCTTGAAAATATTAACTAAGGCCCAAGCTGCACTGGCCAAATTATTTATGGCGTTAACCTTGTTCTTTTCAATTTCATTTCCCTCAAGCTGGACCTGTATTTGTGACTTGTTTATTTCTAGTCGAGCTTTTTTTAAATTGGCTAAAACAGTTTTCGCCTTTCTACTTCTGTATCTGAAAGTAATATTACAATGTTTTTAAAAAATCATATTATTTGAATTTGTTTATACATCAATAAACAAGGTGTATCTGTACCTTTAGGGTCCCTCTCAGATATTCTCTGGCTTTTACCCTTTTTTATATTATTGCGGAAAATCCTATTACTATTTAATGTTTCAGTTCTGGAAAAATAAATTGCGTTAAATTATCACAATAGTAAGTTCTATAAAGTTCAATATTTTATTATTAATAATTATATTAAGATTGTGTAACTTACTGGTAGAAAGCATGTATTTCAATAAAAAACTTAAATAACAACTATTACATAAATAAAATTAAAACTAAATATTACTAAATTAAATATATACAACTTATGATTAAAATTAATTATAGAAAAAATAAACTATTTATAACTTACTTAGCTTTGTCTACAGGCACATTAAAACTTAAAGAAGTTGATGGCTGGATGTCATCAATTGTAGTATTCTCATTCCTAAAAAATCAAAGTGTTAGAATTTATTTTTATGTTCTGAAGATATGTATTGTGTTGAATAAATTATTTCTTAATAAGTAGGTAGTTCAATATTTAATTATTAACTATATTATGTACAACTTAAAATACTTACTCAACTCTTAATGGAGTCTCACTGTCCATAATTTCTAAAGTCTCCGCATCAAAATTAATTTGAGAATCTCCTGTAATATTTGTGTGATCTCTGCAACAAAATAATTAATACACAGGTAAGAAAAATTACATTATCATGAGTTAGGTGAGCTTATTTTTTACTCATTATTGCTTAGAGGTAGATAGATACTCACAATGGAATAATTATATCCTCAGTTTCTGAGGTGGGTATGGGATTTTGTCGGACTGGAAGGCCGTCAAATTTGTTCCCTAATATGGAACAAAGTCTTTCTTCCAGTCCCGATAACGGCTGAGCTTCTGAAGGTCCACCACCTGTTTTCCGTTGGTTTTGTACAATTTTACGAAATTTGTTTTTTATTCGACATTTATAGTCATTATAAAACTGAGAACAAAACCAACATATTATTTCAATGGCATGGTATTTCGCGTTAATTACATGCTATGCAAGAAGTGTACTTACTTTATTCCATTCTTTCGCTGACCTGTAAATGGAAGGGTCTGCTGTTTCGCTGTTCAATATTGCCGCTAGCTCGGTCCACAATTTAGTGGACAAAATATGCCCTTCTTTGCCTCGGACCCGTCCCAGTGCCAACATTCTATGTTTCTCCATAAAATCTACCAAAAGTTCTAGCTGTCTTACAGAAACTTGCTTCATTTTAATTTTATTTAAAATTTTTCAAATTTTGCCGGTGATGGACAGTTATTTGACAAGTAATGCAGAGACAAATTATAGACTTTCCTTTTTAAACCGTGGTTTAGCGGTGATATTATATTTTATTCAACAATTTACATTAAATGTTTATTAATATTGTTTTTAATTCCATTTATTTTATTGTTATGACGTAAATCAGATTTTTTTAAACTTAAATCTGTATTTTAATATTCTGGTAGAATACATAATTGTTTAACTGGCAATGAAACGTTGATGAATCGTTTAGTTGTCGTTTAGTTTCGAGTCAGTTTAATTATCGTCCTATCCAACCCCGAATAAAGAACACGTGAATACCGATTTCGGATAGGACTTCGATCGAACTATGATCGAGCGACTATAAAACTTCAACTGTTTGATTTTACGTGAATCAGTCATGTCGACATGTTTGTAACATATAGTTACATTTCTTTTTTATATGCAATGTGACATTGTTTTTCATTTGAATTTTTTTTATATGTTGTTCTAACTTGACATTTACTTTTTATTTTACAATTGTTAGTACTAGGACCGTGCGAGATTTTGCCTCGCCATTTCTTTTCTAATTACCCATATTCTGATAGTTCGAGTATTTGTGCGACCCATGCAAATGTTCTTTAGGTTGGTGTGGTTCGTCGAATCAGTCAGCCTCACATGTTAATTGAGCTGACTGTAAACCGACACATGCGCACTGCCTTCAAAACGGGTCCGCTCAAACTTTTGTGGTTCTTTCCTCAAAAGGCCACTACAGAAAGAACTTGAACGGTTCTCACATATAATCTGTTATACATATTTGCTGGACTTTAAAAGAGACGGACCTCTGAGTTTGTTTCGGCATTTTTTCTCAGAGTAGTCAGTTAGGAAATGTCGACCTCATCGTTCGCTTGATAAAATTGACGTGTAAAGGTACTGCCCTGTAGCCTATTTGCAGAAATGAATTCACTTGTTTCCTTGAATCTTTTAGAGGTGATGAATATATTTGCAATACTGATGAATTGTGTTCATCCACTGATGATGAAAGAGTACCGGCTAAAAAAAAGAACTGCTACGTCGTCATTGATGAGACAAACCTCCAATATTACGATTCCAAAAATACCACCGTCACCCATGAACACATCAGAGAATTCCGTTTCTGGTTGCTCTTTCTGGGAACGCAAAGGATTTAACAGTGCCGGAAAAAAGGAAAAAACGCGAAAAAGTGACAAAGAGAGAAGATAGAATAGAGAAAAGAGAAAACTATTTCGTAATACTGGCTTAGAATATACCTCTACAACTTCATCAGGGAAAATAAAGGAACGTCGGCTATTTCGTAAACATCAAAACTATTTTTATTATTAATTAATTAACCCACAGTTTAATTAATTATTTTTATTACTTTGTATGACACTGAGTAGGTAAATTGCTTACTGTGATAGATTATCAAGACTGATCTGTGCCATTACATAGTTTTACTTGGTTTTAAACTTTTGTCTTTATAATAATTATGTTCCTTTTGAAAATAGTTACATTCGTATTGTCATATTGTGATGTATAGATCTCCATTTAGTTTTATAAGAATTTTGATGAAAATGTGTATTAACGACTGTATTTTTAGGTTAATAAACGTTGATTTTTTATTTTTCTAAAACTTGTATTATTTACACATATTACTATCTTTTTTTGAGGGGTACATCTTGACTTACATCATTTAACATATCTTCTGAAAGACTAGGATTTTAGTAAATTGATATAGTTCAGCCAAATTATGTAAATAAGTGACTGATAAGTAAAAAAAAATGAATCTTAAGGGTTATATTTTCATCTTATGTTTTAGCACATTTTGCTAGAATCATTATTCTAATGAGTTATTAGACATTTTAACTTGGTGCAACGTAATTTAACTGTATAAGTATCATTTATAACTTATACAGTTACACATATTATATATACAGATATTTAACCTAGCCCGCTTAATTAACGAACTAGATTTTTTTAATTCTTGTTTTTGCTGTCCTGTAAAATGACGTTTTTTGACTTGTATCACTTATCACAGGAGGCACAGAAATCATTGCCTACTACTAATAAACTAAATCCACTAAACTAAGTACGCATGAGAAGAGCTTTCATTCAGCTCGAACTCAACGGCGGGCTATTGGCGAAAACGGTTTGATAATGATAAACATTAGGATACATCAGTTAACTACTTAAGTCTTTAGAAGTAAAGTTAAAATCTTCTTTGTTTGTTTCATTGTAGGTTCTTTGCACTTTGAGCTTTTTGACAACGGGATCATACCAGCGAATCGTTGAGGTAACACAATATTTACCCCAACAAACTGCAAGTCGCTGTATAAGGGAAGTCGTAGAAGCGCTCAACAGCGACTATATGCTAAATGGCATACGATTTCCTCAAACGCAACAAGAACGGCAGGTCCAGAGACAAAAGTAAGTAATATTCAAAATATTGCGACGGTTTTTCTTCTAAATTAATATACCCGGAGAAATAGTAAATTTCTCGCCTCTCGACCACGACTAAAAAGAAAATAATACTGGGATTATGTTTTTTTTTAAAGAATACCTGCCATATATCTAATAATTGGGTACTATAAGACAATATCTATCACCTATGTTAAAGCACTCGACTACATGCTTCCCCTCACTATCGCCGACAATTCCCCATCACTTAAGCTGGCGGCCATGACAGCGCGCGAGCAAGCATCGCGCGTCGCTGACGCCCCGCCACACCATCAAGTGCGCTCGCGATCGGACGCAAACAAATTATCATAGTATAATGTATAACTTCAATTATTAATTAAACCCTATAAACTCTATTCCGTCTATCTACTTAATTAAACTTATATCATCAACATCTCATATCATCAACAACCTTTATTTATTTAGTTTATTATTATTATATGTGTACTAAACTTGGATGAATCACTTCTAGGTTCCAAAGAAAATTTAATTTGCCCGGTGTTGTGGGCTGCACAGACTGTACGCACGTGGCCATTGTAAAACCTGAAGAAAAGAGATTCAGAGAGGTCTGTTGTCAGAATGGGGGTTCCGCAGGGGTCAATTCTCGGCCCTTTTTTGGTTCTCATATAGTATACAATGACTTGCCTTACAACCACGGGATAGTACTGTTTGCGGATGATACTTCGTTATTATTTAAAGTTAAAACGTAGACAATTAGTCATTGATAATGTGAACAGTGCTCTCTCGGAGATAGTACACGGGTTTAGTGCCAACAACCATTTACTAAGTGGAACTAAAACTAAATGCATTAAATTTCCAACATCAAATGTTGGACATGTGAAAACCAGCGTGGTCATTAAGGGTGAGGAGTTGGGCCCTGTAGATTCTACTGTCTTTTTAGGCATAACCCTAGACGCTAAGCTCCAGTGGGCTCCACAAATAGACTGCTGACATTCAATTTATCTTTGTTCTGCAGAAGAGGGCCATTCGATCAATTTACAATCTTAGTCCTAGGTACTCTCTAAGGGAACTATTTGAAGAAATTAATACAATGACTGTTGCCTCTCAATACATTTATGAAAATGTAATATATGGTCATAAAAACAAAAGTTTACTTAAAGAGCATAGTGATATACATAATATCAACACCAGAAATAAAGACAAATATGTTGTTTCCACTACTAGACTAAAGAAAACAAGTGGTTCGTTTAGATGTCAGAGTATACGCTTTTACAATAAAACTCCCAGCCATATCCAAAATTTGAGTCTACATAAATTAAAAATACCATTAAAGATAAACTTTATAGTAACGCTTTTTATAAAATAAAAGACTACCTAGATGATAGTTTAGCTTGGGAATAAGCTGCTGTCACGTCCACACAGGTCTTGTTGACATGTTTGTAACATATAGTTACGTATCGCAGCCAAAATTTGCTGCACCTATTACAATGAGTCTTTGGCCAGCAAATTCCAACCCACACAACTGGGCTTTGGTTGCAAAGGGGGCTGCGAGGCTACGGTACATGCCCAATCCACGTTTTTAAACAGTAACCAAGGAGCGGACATCTTAAGGTTGACATTAAAAACGCCTTTAACTCCGTAATCAGGGACACCTTGCTGACTGAAATACTAAAAGAAATCCCCAAAATTTACAGTTTTCTTTGGCAATAATATAGAAACCCTTCAAAATTACTGTATAAGGACCATTTAATAGAATCGGCTGTCAGTTGTCAACAAGGAGACCCTCTTGGACCTGCCATATTCAGTTTAGCCATAAATCCTATTATTCGTGAACTAAATTCAAAATTTAATTTATGGTATTTAGACGACGGAACTCCAGGAGGTGACAGCGACATTATTTTAAAAGTTTTGACTATATTAAAAGAAAAACTGTGTTAACGCCGCGACCCAGCGACGACGTCACCGTGAGGACCGGGGAAGGGGGGCCGCGACGCGAGCGCGCTGCATGCGAGCGGCAGCGACGACACTCGCCGACAACAACGGCCGAGCGCAGTTCATTTTTCATATTCATTTTATGATTGTTCGTTAATTTCGTTTAAATAAATTAGTGTTTTCCAACAAAGGTCGTTTACCTTGAAGATATAATCATTACCATAAACAACTTAGTTCAATTGGCCTTGACCTAAATTTATTAAAATGTGAACTGTACATTCCTGACTCTACAGACAGACTAACGACTCTAGCAAAATTTAACGACAAGATAGAAAATTTCAATCACATTTCGGATAGATTACACAAAATCAACACACATTCGGCTTTCACCCTAATTCGGTACTGTTGTTTTGGACCAAGTTTTACTTATATTCTCCGCGTTTTACATCTATGGAAACATTGACACACTTTAGAAAAAATAGACAAAATTATCAGACACACATTGTCATCACATTAAGCCACATTAAGTATTAATGTGACTTTGGATGACAGAGCTTCACAACAAGCTACTCTTCCCATTCGCATGGGAGGGCTCGGCGTTCGCAAAATTTCAAGTATTAGTT